TTCCAAAATGCACTTTATCTCCCCTATGCCCCACAAACTTTTGCCCCTTTAAAAGATGCAGAATGCAGCATTAGCCCCTGAAGCAGAGATTTAGGCTCCTTTTCTGTACATGGACCATAGTGACAATCCTGGAAGGTTTAACACTTACCAGGAGCCACAAAGGATGCATAGACTACAAAATCTGCACGGGAGCAAATGGGCAGGATTAAGCACATTTCCCCAGGGCAACAGTTTCCACACTTTTGCCTCAAGGTCCTCATCTTGCAGGAAGTCCAGTAGAGACAACTTGAACTTCTAGACCCCCACCCCCCCTCCCAACCCCCAAGGTTTAATCCAGCCACAAGAACACTGATTAAAACCAAAGCTGTTCAGCAGGAGTAGTGTAGTCAAGCCTAGGAATGCACACAACTGAACAACTGGCAGAAGCAGAACTGTCATAATCCAGCCTGTCTCACCCTGCTGTGACAAGCAGCAGTTCAGAATGCATAATTCAGGCACAGGAATAGAAGCAAGTGTCCTAATTACCTCTTCTCTAAATCTTTTCCTCCTGCTGCATGGAGGTCAGAAAGAACAGGTATCAATTAGAAATGATACACAGATTAGAAGCAGTATCAAAGGCACATGGTGCCAACAGAGATACTACTGCATCTGCGAGGTCTGCAAATTCATGAAGAGACACATTGTCGTACTCTACACATAGCGGAAAAGGTAGAACTTACTTGTAGTTACACAAGCTAAAAAAAAGGATTTGAATAATATTACTTATTCTGTCAGTTTTCAGAGACAAACACAGAAGACTATCATTGACATGCTCTCCATACCTAAGTCTACTTTTCCAGACAAGCTCGTCTCCACACAGCTCAGAATAAACAATCTGTGTGCCAGCAGATCTGAGCACACACAGTGACAGACAGTGGTCATCCAATATCAAATCTAGTATCTAATTTATTTTACATTTATATTTTTCTCTCTCCTTATTTTTAAGCATATATTAGACACAGAAGTCATCTAGGTTTTGTTGGGTTTTTTTTAAGAAAAGGATTGATTGAAGCAGAATTACAAGTATATTTATTTTAAAAACGCCTTGGAAAGAAAACTAAACCACACGTTCTTTACACTTATTGGAAGAACTGTGCTACCCTACCAAATGCTTAATAGTTTATCACTGGCCTACCCTATTGGTCTTCAAGTTGTCACAATGCATAATCCTACCTGTAGTTTCAGGGAAAAAGAATTAAAATATCTACCCCAAACAGCTCCCTGTTCAATTTTTAAGAATGAACAGAATAAAAGACCTCACTACAAGAAAGCTTGCAAAAGACATTTGCAAGTGTTCAAGAAAGTAGTTTTATTCGAATACCTGTATGACCTGTTTGTCAGTTCCCCTGGTTTAATAAGTTGATTTCAATTTTCATTTACAGATGAAAGCAGAGACTTTTCACCACCTCTAGAATGTAGTACCAAGAAAAAACTAATAAAACCAGATCTAGCAGATAAGCTCCAATATACAAAGAATTGACAACAGCCCAGAACAAAGTAATTCTAAACTTCTCCTTGCCTCACTTTCTTCAAAAATGCTGATAAAACTAGTCTCTTGCATGTTCAAATGACCAGACAGACAATCACAGCAGAGTTCTTGAAGAATCAAAGCAACTAAACAGAACAGTTTTACCACCTGTAAAATAGCACTACCTGCCTTGAGCATCTTCCTCTCCGAGGAAGGAAGCTCTCCTTTAAAGCTGAAAACCTCTCCCCTGAATTTAGAGTCCAGCTTGAGCAGCTTCTCTGCTACCTTGAACACAGCTTTACACATGAAAAACATCAGTTTTAAGCAGGCAGATCATCAGACCACATGAACACGGGATTAAACAGGCAGTCATCTTTTCTGTAGACCTTCAGACCATTTTGTACAGTTACAATTCACAGCATATCAATCACAAGAGACAAAGAAGTATTTCTGAGTACACATCCTCTGGGCTTAACAGGTGTCCATCAGTTCTACTGATGGCAAGTCCCACTTTATGTCGTCAGCAGGCTAAAAATACTGTATGATAAATATACTTTCACTGCTTAGGTACAATCAGGCAAATAACCCACAGTAAGTTCACTGATAACACGACAAACTCACCTCATCATCACTGTCTGACGTCTCAGAGTCTGAAGATGCTGTAGGTTTGCTCACAGGTGGCTCCTTCTCTTCAGAGTCACTGCGTTTCCGTTTGGCCAATGACAAGAGCTCCTGGTGTGAAAAACCACACGTTTATTTTAAAACGTCACAATTAGTTTTACCAATCCAGGATAGTGTATATGCACCTTCCCTGTGATATTTGAGTGTATCCCAGTAAAATTAGTATCCCCATTGACTACGGCATAAAGTCTGCTTGTGTTTCATAAATAGGTGTATATATACACGACACAATTTTAATACAACTGGATACTACAAAAGGATTTTGAGGAGAACAAGCTATAAGCAGAAAATGCCACTACCATCACTTTCTTGGTCTAAATGACCTACAACAAATTACTTTCAGAGTCATGTCCAGCTCTTTTTTATTTGGATTGTGTAATAATTCAAAAACACCCTGATGTTACACCCTGTGTAGCATTAACCCAAAAAGGCAAATGCCACTAGAGAGCAGCTCCTTCTTCTAAACAAGATGTTTGCAATTATACACTTTAAAAGAGAAATACTTCGGGCTTCATCATGATGTCATGGCTGATAATGTTTAGTGAGCTGTTCAATTTCTTTTCACTGTCCCTATATAACATAGAATGCACTTAAAGCTTTGGATAGACATACAGCAGGCATCAAGCTCAAAGTTTATGAAACTAAGTAAAACTGTTCTCCAAAGGAAGCATTTTCAAAGGCAATACACACCAGCACAAGTACTAAATGGCTCTCAAATAATCTCATCATCTGCTGTTCATAGCTTGTTCAGATGACAGAAGCAGCAGTATAAAAGAAACACTTCTGAAGCTGCATTACTGCCTTTGTCGTCCATGACACATAATTTATTCTTAAAAACATTGCTCTGGGGCTGAAGAACCTTAGATGTGAATAGAAAGAGTCACACCAACTTCCACAGTCCTGGGAAGTCACTACTAGATTGGTTCACATTAGTTTCACAACTGGAAGATTATCTCCACAGCAAACGGATTACAATTTAGTACCTCAATGAGAACATAAAATCCACAGAAACTGATGGCCTGGGCTACTTATCAAGAAAGAAACCTTCTATTAGTATTAGCATTTTACAAAGCTGTCTCTGAAGAAGGCATGCAACATCAACAGAGCACGTTTGTACAATTCACAGTTATTTTCAGGATGTTTTCTACAACTTTTTGCAGGGTTTCTCTCACAATTGTCTCTAAGTAGTCCTACAACCCAGATTACCTTCCTGGATATCTTAGCATATTTACCACTACTTTTGTTCCAAACAATTTTCCTTCTTTCTTTCTACCCTTGTTCTGTTTTCCAAGATACTACGTTAGAAAGGCTCTTACTCCTTTGATTCACCAAGCTGTCAGACATTAAACCTACAGAAGGGCTCCACTTGCTATACTCTCATCCTAAAAATCACACCACAAAAGCACTGCTTCGCTGCTACCTAATCTTTGTCCCTGACCATACATATCCCTGCTGTTGGAGTTGCTACAAACAGCTCAGTTTGGAAGAAGCAGCACTCGGGTAAAGCTGCAGATGCATGCCTCCAGTGGATGAGGGAACAGATGGAAAACCATGCAGTTACTCCTGCCACCATCACTCTGGTTGCCTGGTCTATGCTAGAGCTAGTCCAATTCCTTCTATTTTCAAGCTCTGAAGAAACTACCAAACTAATATACTACTGGGGAGATGTTGGCAGCTCTAAAGACTCTAGAGGCATGCAAGTTCAACAACACGAGGGCACGCTCCGCTCCGGTATATTTGTCTATCAGAGCCTCCAATTTGATTTTTCTGAAGCTCCAAGCACCAAAACTATTTCTGAGCGTTTGGGAAGGCTTTTTATTGCAACATAGCAACAGCCTCTATATTAAAAACCCCGAAGGTCCAGCGCATAAATTACATCAGGCACGTAGGCTTCAGCACATCTAACCAGCTGAACTTCTCCCCAGAAGAAGCACTCCCATCCCAGCTGTAACACGCTTCAGTTACAATGTATTTACTGTTTGATGCACCATTCTTCATCAAGACCTGCTCAACCTAAAGATTAAGCTTTGAAAGCAGCCCCCCATCTCCCCCCCAAGGAGGAAGCCGCCCCCTTTGCAGGCCTGACACGGATTTAAACCCACACCAGGCACCACCGCACGTCCAACCCCTGGGGGGGATGCCCTGATGATAAATAAATACTCCCCCTCATTAAACCCGCCGGCTCCCAACTCCAAGCGCTTTCCCCACAGACGGAGCCCCCCACCCCAAGCACGGTCGCTAAGATTGAGGAGGGAGCATTAAACACGCATTAACACCCCCCACCACCTCGGGGGGGCTCACCGGGAGGCAGGGACCCGACCTGCTGCTCTCCTGGCGGGCAGAAAAGTTCCTCAGCCCTTTGGGGCCTCTTCCCCCGCTACCCGAGGGGTGACCGGCCGCCGGGCCCCGCTTCCCCCCCACCTCAGGGCCAAACCGCCCCCGCCAAGCACCGCCCTCCTGGCAAAAGCACCGGGACCGCCGCAAAGAGACCCCCCCCCCGCCCCGGCCCCGCCGCCCCAAACCCGCCAACCGCGGGGCAGGCCGGGGAACCGCCGGAGGTGGAGCGGGCTCTCCTCACGGAGGCCGCGGCGGTTCCCATCGGGCTTGGGGAGGGAGACGGCGGGCGCGCAGCCTCCCCTCCAGCTCCCCGCGGGGCCTCCCGCCCCCCCCCTTTTTCTCCTCCTCCTCCTCCCTCCTTCCCCGCCACCGGCGCCGACGGCGGCGGCGCGGCGCTCTCAGCGGCCCGGCCTGCCCCGCGCCGCCCGCCCGCCCGGGACACAAAGGGCATGGCGCATGCGCAGGGCGCCGGGGCGGGAAGCGGAGAGAGGGGCCGCCTCCTCCTTCCCCTCGCTCCGCTCCCTTCACCGGGCGGCAGCCCCACAGCTAAAGGGGGGTTTACCGGCCCCCGCCGCCCGGTGAGGGCTGGGGAGAGGGGAAGGAAAAGAGGTCGGTGTTTAACCGCCGCCGGGCGGAACCCGAACAGCGCGGTGTGTGTTTCCCCCGGCGCGCCCGGAAGCGGTGGGAGCTGCAGGTGACAGCGGGAAGGTGAGGTCCTGAGGGCCGGTGGCCGAGGTTTGAGGCGGCGGCTGCTGAGGCCATCGCGTCCCGGCCTCGACTCTGCCCCTCCGGGGAAGGCGGCGGCGGTGGTGGCGGGGGAAGCCCGGCGGGGACCGGTTTGTGGTGAGGCGGACAGCGAGGCCATCGGTGGGAGCCGGGGCTCGGCGGGGAGCGGGGGCTGGGGACAATAAAAAGTAAAATCGGTTAAAATTTCCTTCTCGGCGCTGAGGGGGATCCAGGAGGTGGGGTTCGGCTTGGCTGCGGGGCGCAGCTTTTCGCCCCCTCTCCTTTCGGCTTCGGTTTGGGGTGGGTTTGCTGGCAGGGCCCAGAAACCGTGGGGTCATCCAGGTTGGAAGGGACCTTCAAGACCATCGAGTCCAACCAAATGTGGAGGCTCTCGCTGCTGTCATGGGGTGGGCATCACCTCCGTCCCCAGGGACGTGAGACCTCTGTGTTTGTGGGGTTTCTTTCTGAGGAACTCGCCTCCTGTCTTGCTGACCCCACAGTGGTCCTTCCACGCAGTTTTGGGCCGTGGTGTGTAGCTCAGTCCCAGCATGAGGACGTTAATAGTGAGCTTTAGCATGAGTAAAGGAAGGTGACAGGTTTGGAACAGGTTGCCCAGAGAAGCTGTGGATGCCCCATCCCTGAAGGTGTTCAAAACCAGGCTGGATGGGGCTTTGAGCAACCTGGTCTGGTGGGAGGTGTCCCTGCCCAGGGCAGGGGGGTTGGAATTTGGTGATCTTTAAGGTCCCTTCCAACTCTAACCATTCTATGATTCTATTCTATAAGTGGCATATGGAGAGGAGAGTGGGGCTCTTCACTTTTTGCCGTATTGTCTAATATATGACATGGTACTGCCTGCTTAGATGTGTTGCCTTTGGGTGACAGACCGCAATAAAATGACCAGCACTTTAACAAAGTGGACTGGTTTCCTGATAAGGTGTTCTTTTATTCCGTGTAAAGCAAGCTTTGCACGTCAGCTCGTATTGCAAAAGAAAGAGGGAAAGAAGGCGCTTAAAACATGAAGAAGGAAAGGACTATCTCAGTGATGCTCCATGGGAGTTTGTAACTGAGAATTAACGTGGGGCTTCCAAGCTCAGGAGATTTCGTGGGTGAAAGGGGCAGGAGGAAGAGTAGTTCTACGTTTGAAAATTCTTAGAGGGATTGAATAGGCTGATGGTCCAGCGTGGCACTTTGATAATTTGTTTTGACTGACTCCATTCTTAGAAATGCAGGGAAGATGATTTGACATCATTTTCAGATTTATTCTGTGGCCAAAAAAAAAACCACCACCCCAAACCTAACTTGTCTAATCTTATGAGTCAGAGATAACAGCCTCTGTACAGAACATCGAACATTAAGGTTCTCTCTTACGAATTGGAGAATAGCGACGTTGAGTAGCTGTTCCTACCAGCAGTGATGCAAGGAGAAGCAAAGAGCAGATTTTCTGGGGTTTTTTTCCAAAGCTTTATGAAAAAAACCCACCCTACTGAATTGCAGTCTTTCACATTAAATTATTTGGGTTTTGGGCAATCTGTAGTCCTAAACCAGATGTACTGAGGGGGCAAGAGGCTGGATGACTTGTGGAAGAAGCGCGCGGTGTGGCTGCTGTAGGGTATTTCACATCACAGGGGGACAAGAAAGGTAAATCATTAAGTAAACTAGAATTCTGAGGAAGTTTATTACTTGATGTCATTTTTTATTCCTTTTTCCAGTGGCTTAGATTTCTAGCTAATACCTGTTTTAAAAATGAAACAGTTTTACAAGCATCCATTGTGTAGTTTTTTTTTAATCTTTTCTCTTTTTTAATTGAAGGTGGAGATAAACCATGGCAACTAAAGCAAAGTAAGATAGCTCTGGATACTAGTTTTGTTGTTAAATTAATTTCAAGCCCCTTAATTGCCTCACTAGAGGTGAATTCTTCAAGTTTACCAAAATGGCTCTGACTGTTACGTTGCTGAGGGGCGCTTACGTGCGTGGGAGGTGCTGCAGGCACCAAGTTTTGCACCCCTTACTTGGACCTCTGTTTGGCAATTCCGTGTCAAAATTGTACAGCAGCTACAGGAGGCCGGGGTCACAGCCTGAGAAAAAACCATCTTGGCAAAATACTGATTTGAGTTTTAAGAAGAGCATCGATGTCTTAAAGACTCAGCTCAGCATGCTGAAGAAGGAAACCAAAGATTACTTGACAGGACCCGGAGGCCAACCACTCAATCAGTACCTGTTGGAACAGACAAAGGTGTTGTGGGAGTTTCGGAGCCAAGAAGATTTAAATAAATGGGTTATTTCCTCTGACGTAGAGATTGGAGGGAAAAGCGAAGTTTACCTCACGTTGGGTAGGAATAACCAGGGTGCTCTGCTCTATGGAACCCTCAATACGGAAGTACCTCGTGATGGGGAGACCAAATACAGTGGATATTGCAGTATGAGAGCTAAGCCACTGGTGGTAAGTACAGCTTCACCTCTGCATTTCTTTTGTTCTTTAATCTGAGAGCATTTTTATGTAACCCCAGTCACAGAGAAGCGAACTGCCGTTTCCCGCAGTTGAAACTGATCTCTTTCAGGAATATTGGATATTCCTTCAGGGATGTAGTTGCTGCTGTATCCTTTGACCTAGAAGGACCTTAAATTTTTTTTATTGGATTTTGTTTTCCTTTATTAGAAAAGGAATAATATATATTTGATCGCTCACTTGTGTACAGCAGGGCATCCACTCATTAAGACAGCCCTGTTTGCAGCCTTCTTGCAAATGAAGGATCTGTAATCATAGAATCATGAATGTTTGTATCCAAAATTGGTATGATTAAAATAGATCTCTCTAAATTTGAAGTTAATTGAATGTGTCATAAGGGCAAATTTTTCTGGGCTTTAACTTGGCCTATTCATCAAGCTTGGTTTAGGTGAATGAGCGAATTTTTTTTCCTCAGGAACAGAAAATAATGCTTTAAAATGTACTTTTTAAACGTCTGACATGCTGTACATCAGAAAAAGCAAGACACAAACCGTTTTGAAATCAGAGGGTGAAAACATAAATACAAAGGCTCTTCTTTATCTAAGTAAAAGGGCTTAAAAGCGGCAAAACCATAAAATCAAGTAGCCACAGCCCTTGTATTAATTTATTGATGATCTACTCATCCTATTACCTATAAGATCAGTTGTTAGAAGGTTGGTTGGTAGGTAACTGTAGTAGCGCTGTAAAATAAAGGGGAAACTTGTGAATTTTTGGTGCTAATTTTGACTTGATTTAAGCAATTCTGGGCAAGAATAGCTCTGTCCCCCGTCATTCCAAGAGACCTCACTGTAACTCTCTGAAGACTCTTGGATCTCTCTGTGTGCAGATCACACCACCAGAACTTTGAAGATCTTAAAGTAACGGGGTTGAGGGCTAGAGCTGTTTGTGATGCATGTTGTTATGCACAGTTAATGACAAAAAGTGTTGGAAAACATTAAATTGCTTCCAGTGCTTGTGTCAGTCTTCGATAAGGGAAGTTTTATCACAAGGGATAAATTACCCCACTTCTTCAATTTCTTGTATAATGAACTGCATTAAACTTAATGAACTGTGTAACTACTGATCCATCACTACAGCGTTTGTGTACTCACCCGGTAGAGAGCTGGGTCCTGGGAAGGAGGTCTGGTTTCTGAGAGTTACACCATTGTGGTTTATAATTAAAGCACAAGTCCTTGGAGTGGCGACGCTGCATTTTGTGGAATCTGTTGGAGTGCTGAAGGAAATTCGGGGGGATCAGAAGCTGGTGTGATGAAAGAGTAACCCCCTTCTCACTATATTGCAGTAGATATTATTTGACATAATAACGAGGGCAGTGACCAAAGCAGTAGTACTCTGTTCTTCGTAATGGATGTTTCCCTTTATTAAAGAGGAATAATTCTATTTATTAATACTTTGTAGGGATCTTTTGCTAGGAAGAAGTATTATGACTGGTCAAACTTCAACAGTCTGTATTTACGCGTCCGTGGCGACGGCAGACCTTGGATGGTGAACATTTATACAGACCCTTACTTCTCTCATCAAAAGGATGACCTCTACAACTACTTCATGTTCACCCGAGGAGGCCCGTACTGGGAGGAAATCAAGGTGAACTAGCGCATCTTCCAAACTAACACTTTGTAAGGAGTGGGAATTTGGGCTCTTTTCTGATGAAACTTGGGTGACTTTTGTAATTTCCTGATGACAACGTTCAGGATCCAAACTAACACTTTGTAAGGAGTGGGAATTTGGGCTCTTTTCTGATGAAACTTGGGTGACTTTTGTAATTTGCTGATGACAACGTTCAGGATGTTTGTGTGTGCTTATGAATTGGCATTCAGAGCTTCATAATACCCTCGTCCAGTCATGTGAGAAGAGCCCAATGTCCCACAGAAGAAGGATGAAAATCAGTGTGTTGTTGCTGGCTGGTGTGTTTTCCTCTCCCCCGCACCGGCCAGCTCTCCTGTTTCATAGAATCACAGAATGGTTAGAGTTGGAAGGGACCTTAAAAATCATTTAGTTCCAACCCCCTGCCCTGGGCAGGGACACCTCCCACCAGACCAGGTTGCTCAAAGCCCCATCCAGCCTGGCCTTGAACCCCTCCAGGGATGGGGCAGCCACAGCTTCTCTGGGCAACCTGTTCCAGTGTCTCACCACTCTCACAGCAGAGAATTTCTTCCTAATATCTAACCTAAATCTTCCCTCTTTCAATTTAAAACCATTACCCCTTGTCCTATCACTACACTCCCTGATTGTTCAATTTAAAACCACTACCCCTTGTCCTATCACTACACTCCCTGATTTCCTATCTCTTACCACGGCCTCTCCTCGTTCTTGCTCCCACTGCATTCAAAGTCATTTTTACGTTTTTCAGAACTGCTTGGCTGGAATATAGATGTCTCAGTATGAAGTGTGCCCTGTGAAACACGCACCTCGGGTACAGACACGCTGTCAGCATGTGTCCCTGCTGGAATTCTCATTCATTCCCATGTTACGTTGATGTTATTGGAAGGAGATAACTGTGGGTGTGAACAGCCACCTTCTGTGCTGCAGCCCCTCGCTGAGCCCCAACAGGGTCACAATCCTGTGCAACAGCTACAAACGGCCACCGTGGGTTTTATTTTATGTACTACTGACACCAAAGTCTGGTTTTGTTCTCTTTCTGTCAGATTCCATTCTCCAAATTCTTTCTATCCAGTCGGGGAAGAGTCCAGGATGACCAGCATCCTATTTGGTTAGACAAGGTCAGTTTCCTATAGGCTTTATATGTCTGAAATTTCATTTAAGATTATATTGTCATGATATAGATAATTTAAAAATCCTTTACTGTTTGTGAATTTGGAACTGAAGGGCCTCATCTTGTTAGAAGGAACTTATTGTTGTGTGCTTGCCTCTGCATTTAAATTATCCTACTTTGTGACAGCAGCATCAGTTTACTTCAAAGTGGCTCCAAAAATGTTTTTAATAGATGTAGATAAGCAAGAAACAATTCACAGCTTACTTGGCATCTCAAAAAAAAACCCCAAAACCATATTATTTTTTTTTGTTTTGAGGAATGATCAAAGTGACTAAAATCTAAAGTGCCAGGTGGCACAATACTGCCAAAAATGATAAAAGTCTCATAAACTTCCCTCCTGACAGAAGACTGTGAGGGATAGTGTATTGGGAGATTTTTATTTGAGGATTTACTGGATCAGTGACCTTGATGGTGAGCAGTAAATGGGTGTATTTACAAGCTCTTTCTTAGGTTTTATTTCAAGCTTTCTAGTCTTAAGTATAAAGGAAATGCGTAGAGTATTTTTGGTTATTTCTACAGATGGATGGACTAATTCACTAATTCACAGGAGACGACATGTTAGAAAAAAATGTTTCTGTATCTTTTTTCTTTTAAATTTCATTGGCCCTCCCATGTGTAACTGAGGGCAGCTTAATACCCGGTGACTGCCAAAAATGCTAGACATGTATTTAGGGAGAAAATCAAAGGTCCATTACTTCAATTTGTGTTAGTCACCTGGAATGTTGCATTCAGTTCCTAATACAGCAGCATCAGTTTACTTCAAAGTGGCTCCAAAAATGTTTTTAATAGATGTAGATAAGCAAGAAACAATTCACAGCTTACTTGGCATCTCAAAAAAACCACAAACCCCAAAACCATTTTTTTTTTTTGTTTTGAGGAATGATCAAAGTGACTAAAATCTAAAGTGCCAGGTGGCACAATACTGCCAAAAATGATAAAAGTCTCATAAACTTCCCTCCTGACAGAAGACTGTGAGGGATAGCGTATTGGGAGATTTTATTTGAGGATTTACTGGATCAGTGACCTTGATGGGGAGCAGTAAATGGGTGTATTTACAAGCTCTTTCTTAGGTTTTATTTCAAGCTTTCTAGTCTTAAGTATAAAGGAAATGCATAGAGTATTTTTGGTTATTTCTACAGATGGATGGACTAATTCACAGGAGATGACATGTTGGAAAAAAATATTTCTGTATATTTTTTCTTTTAAATTTCATTGACCCTCCCATATGTAACTGAGGGCAGCTTAATACCCAGTGACTGCCAAAAATGCTAGAAATGTATTTAGGGAGAAAATCAAAGGTCCATTACTTCAATTTGTGTTAGTCACCTGGAATGTTGCATTCGGTTCCTAATTGCCTTAATCAAAAAAAAAAAAGGAAAAATTTGAAGGCAATTTGGTGATTGGCAACATGAAAAAGGTGGGTTAGCTACAAGAAACAATATGCTTATATTGCACTTGTATATAATATAAAGTGTGATTTTACAAATATATTTTAAAGAAACCTAAAAATAGGGGAAGCAGTGTGAAGGCAATTAAAGAAATCTTGATGAAATGTCTTGATCCCTCGTGGCACTAAGACATGTTTTCCAGGAGCCAGGAAAGGCACTTTATCTGACACATCCTGGGCATTGTTTTCCTGCCTGTTAACCAGTCCTTCAATCGTGGGCACAGCTCAGACCCTCACTTTGAGCTGGATTTAGGGGCAGCTGGAGCGTAACTGGTGCCCAGGCACTGGTGACTCAACTCCTTTGGGAGCTGCTGCCACTGGGCTCTCTGAAAGGCAACTGGTGACGTGCAGGAGCTGAGAGAGCTTTCAGGCAAACCACAGGCTCGTGGGAAACGTCCCCGAGCCACGCAGATTTTTATGGAATTTATTACAGTTAGAATAAAAACTATGTTAAAAAAAAAAAATTGGAATAAGGTGGGGGAGAAAATTACCAGGAAGGAATAGGAATGCTCTTGTATTTAAGAATATTATCCTGATTGGAAAACAGTGGCTAAGAACCTTGCCTTAATGTACAACTCAGTAACAAAGTTTCATGCATTTTAAAGTCTGATTTGGCACCCTTCCACACGGTGTCAAGCTAGAATCAAAGTTCCCTTCCATCCTTAATTATGTTCTGTTTCCTGCTCATGAAAGACTTGTAAGACTTTATGCAGATCTGTTTGCACACCTGATCCTGATGAAATCAGCACTATGAAGTTTATGGCTTGAAGGAGAAAAGTTGCAGTGCTGCTTTGGGCTCGGGCCAGTTCTAATAAAGGGTTCAGCACAGAGGTGGGAAGGGAAACATGAAGTAATTTCCCACTGGGGTCTGTATTGGAAACGTGGTAGCAAAGGGTTCAAGCCTTAAGAAATAGTGCTGCCCTTCCAACAAATACCACTGTTTAAAGTAGATGGCTGTGTAAAATACAGAAACAGTAGGTACAATCGTGTTTGGCTGTAACATTATAAATACTGTTCTAATGTATGTATCTTTTAATTAGGTTAGTACGCTTGGATTCACAATCGGAGATAAAGTAGATGGTCCGTTCCAGCTGGAGATTGATTTTATTGGGCTGCTAAACGACAGAGCTCATACAGAAGAATTTGCCTATGAAAAATATGAAAGGAACCCTCGAGTCTAAGCCGGGCTGGTGTCCTTCAGGAGATTCTTCAGATGCTTGGTTCACTTTTCTAAAAACTTCTCAGCATGTGGCATATAAGAACTTGAAGATTCCATGTAAACATTAAAGAGATGAGTGCGTAGCAGTAATCTGACTAAGAGTGATGCTCTTGGCATCCTTGAGGTGCCAGATACAGAATCCTGGAGAAAGTGTACGTCTGGGGACTGGAACACAGCCCGAGGAGAGCTGTGATATGTTCTTACAAAGTATTAACTGTTGACTGGGTAAGTTCGGGCTTCTCCTGACCTTTACAGAAATAAAAGCATTTTATCAACCTGTTTTTGTTGTTTTTTGGTGCAACAGTTTCATTTTCTACATTTATATGGCTTATAGACAGTTGTAAAACACTTGTATCCACTAGTTTTAAACTGGGGGAAAAGTATGATGAGAATGAATACCCTGAGGAATGGTGCTTAAATGTGACTCAGCCGCTGAAATTTAAAAAGAGCAGCACCAGACGTGGAAAAGGCAGAGGTATTTCAACCTTTAGCTTTGGCTCCTCAGAACAACTAAAAAAAGAAAAAGCTGCCACTGCCAAGATTGCAGCAGCAGCAGCCGCCGTGCAGCGGGCCAGGCTGTGACCTAGAGCTGCTGAGGGTCCTACAGGCTTATGAAGGTGAGGTTGTTGAAGAGGAGAGGTGTTCCAAGGGTGGGCTGGGGGAAGCCCTGTCACTCTGAGAGGGTTTTCTCCCCTGGGGAAGCAGAGCTGGGCTCCATTAGCACCAGCCCAGGTCACAGGTTCCTGATGTGTGCCATTATCTTGGCTGTATGGTACTAAGTCACAGCCTCAGGGGGTGGCACAGAAGCTTAATGCCTCCCTTTTTCTGAGAAGTCTGGTTTTTGGTAATTTGAGAAACACTTTAAAGAGCAAGTGTTGAATAGTGTGAATAGTTTCATTTCAGCTGTCACAAACTTAGCACTGACCTTGTTTAAGTGTACTTTACAAATACTAAATATACCTACATTTTACATGGAAGAGGCCACAATAAAGCAAAGCTGAAGCAAAGTCTTATACTATTGCTCCTAATTCTGTGCAAGAGGAAACCAAGAGAGAGGTGATGGTTATTGTTTTTAAAGACACTGGACAAACATGCATTTATAAAGTAGTAGGCAGGCTAGTGGGTAAGGAAAACTTGTCACAAAACACTGAGTAGTAAATAAAAGTGGGAATAAAAGTAGTGCTGTGCTGAGAAGGTGGTTGTACACAGTACACCAGGTGCTACAACCAGTTATAAACAAGATATAAGCCAAATATTTATTAAGTTAATAAAAAATTTGCTTGTTCTTGACACTTCAGCATGTTTGATAGGACACTAAATGCACTGAAGAAGTTATTTGCTCAAAATTCTAGCCAAGATTACAACTGCTAAATTACCTTTCCAGCTCCATTCATAATGCATCCAGACAGCTTTCCTCTGAATTTTTTTAAAAAATAACAATAAGAACAGCTTTTAAATCTAAGGTATTGAATGTGTCTAAACACTACTGTAACCTCTTTTAAGCATCATAGAGAGGAAAAGCAGAAGAGTTTTGTTAACATCTACTATTTACCATAGAAAAAAAAAAAGTAACTTTGAACAGTTAAGGTTCAGTTGTGGCTTTTCAAAAATATGGTATTTTACAATTACGTTATGCTGTAAGCTTTTATTTTTCCAGAGAGCTTGCATATTTTTTTTCTTTGCTTGGAAATTCCCTACTACTTCATAGGCATGCAATTAGAAATGCTGAATAATTGTTGTAACAGTTGTTACAAAATTTAGGGATTGATCTGAAGCACAGGGCAAGCAGACATCTCCAACTCCTACAATTTAGCAAGGGACTATTTTGAAGCTTGGTATCCAGAGTGTGCATTCTGGTGGGTAACAAATGCATTCGGGTGGAGAAATCTGTCCTGAGTTGCAACAAGGCTTCTTGAACATCTTTTTTTTCCTGTTTTTCCACTTACATTTTGTGCTTTAACATCTTTTAGTTAAATGAGTTCGTTAAATGAAAACATTAGAACTCTCTAGTTGCTTAATAAGCTGCTAAAAGTTTGTAACTCTCATCTTGTTGGAGAAGTTTATCCCTAAAACATTTTGCTCAGATGCTTTATAAGGTCTCTTTCAGTGCCCTCTCTGGATTCCACTAGCTAATAGCAACCTGAACCATACACAAACAGCAAAGATATTTACATGACAGGAACAGTATTTACAGTGATTTCTTAGATATTTCTTCTCCCTCCTAACCCAGGGATAATCCTCTGCGTCTTCCGACAGCCTGAGCCTTTTTCTTTTTTCTCTCTTGCTCATGTTTCTCACGCCTTTCTTCCCTGAAGGGGAAAAAGAAGAGAGACGGACCATATCAAGTTATATTAAAGGCAGAGACACGAGCAATAAACACAATACTTCTGTCTTAGACATACAGGTCTAACATTCCATATTCACAGCCTCCTCTGAGGTACATACAGGTCTAACATTCCATATTCACAGCTTCCTCTGAGGTGCAGGTGATTCTCCAAACACTAGAAAATACAGCTTTTGTAGAAGAAAAGTCTGTTGGATTCAGAGCTGCCCTCTTCCTGATACTAGACAGACTATTCGAGGCAAAAATTGCTTTAATATAAAAGGATTATTTCCTGAACTGCATATTTATATCCAAAAAGATAAATAAGTCGTCATATAATTTTAAATAACACTATTCATAAAAAGTTTATGCTCTACTAACCTTGTCTGGAGATGCGGCTGTTTGTAATCTTTCCTGCATGAAGACTTATTTAGGACAGTATTTTCTTTACATTCTCCCCAAGGTTTTAGTCGTCCTACAATTTGGGGGCAAAAGAGACACTGTTGAATTCCTAGTTTAGTAATTGTGCACTTCAATTGTTATAGTGACTTTATACCAGCTGGCCTGGTTTTTTGTGGGTTAACTTGAAGCTGAAATGCCTCTTCAGCTGCATTAGCAGTTTCACCAGCCCCATCCCCTACAGGTAGTTTTTCTATGAGTAGTAGCAGGTGACTGTAGTTAAAAGTAATTAGCAGTTTCACCAGCCCCATCCCCTACAAGTAGTTTTTCTGAGTAGTAGCAAGTGACTGTAGTTAAAAGGACACACACCACACAAAGTTCAGCTTCTCACACACTAGTGGAGTTTTTAAAAGACATAAATTAAAAATATGCCTCTTTTTATAAAAGACTATGTCATTCCCTGTACATACATCTATTCAGTGGAATATAAGGACACACTAGTGGAGTTTTTAAAAGACATAAAATAAAAATAAGCCTCTTTTTGTAAAATACTCTCTTATATTCCCCGTACATACATCTATTCAGTGGAATATAGGCATGTTTATTCTTGTATTTGTGGGCTTTTGGTCATAAAGACTTGTTCTTCAGTAGGGAGGCTCTTAAAGCACATATTATGTAGAAATTTAACATCAGTCCACAGACTGTGTGAGAATCCAGAGAGGAAGGGAAATGGACAGGAAAAGAGACTGAAAACATTGCTGTGTCATGGTTTGTATCAACGCTTTACTTTTAAGGGGTATGAATGACCAACACAAACTGCAGGATCCCGGTACCTTTATGTGGCTGATACCGAAGCGGCCTCGCGAGACTTGCTTTGAGATCAAATGTCTTCTTTGCACTTGTGGGTTCTGCAGAGTGAGCTGAGAACTTGAAGGGGGTGATAACTACAAAAGGCATCAAGACAGCATACTTAATTACAGTAGCAAGAACATCAAGTGCCCGCGAAAGCCACCTTACAACTACCAAGACCAAAGAGTCACTAAATGCTACCTCTAAAGACAGAATTTCACAAATACAGCTCACTTGAAACTGGGAGCTTCCAGAGAGCAAGAACTATAAGTATTAGCCCTTTTGCACCGCAGAGAAAATCTCCCTGTACCTGTTAAATGAGCCTTTTGCGATGTGGTCCCTAGAGGTCTAGAATGATTTCTATGCCCTACATCCTATATTGGGCTTTTCTGTAGGTAGTTAGGTATTGTATGTTTAAGTCTTAGCACCTAACTATTTTAGTCAAAAAACTGGAAACCAAAGGAAATGAAGAAACTACTGTAGTTTCTAAAGAATCAGTAATAAATTAGAGAATTAAAACAAAACCTGGGTCATGACATTAGGGTGTAAAAAAAAGTTATATGATAATTCAGTAAGACAGAAGCCTTGATATTTAAAAAAACCCAAATATTTACAATCCACTTTACCCTTTGATGCAGTTAGATCATTATTTCTTGCATTTTCCTTGCTCTTTTTCAGACTTATCAGTTTGCAGCTCTTTTCACTATGAGGTGTGTGGCCCTCTTCCACGTACGGAGACATTCGAGATGGTGTCTTGGTAAGAGAACGCTTATGCTCATTATCTTTTGTGGCTTCTGAGAACCTGATAATTATTAGAAAACGTGAAGACAAAATTAGTCATCTACAAGGAACACAAGCGCCGTGACAGAATACAGAAGGTTCTGCATTCTACATTTCTTACAGGTAGAAAGTTTTACTGTGTATAAGATGTTCACAGCTTGTGCATAAACTTCACTAAAAATACTTTGCTGGCAGTTTCCAAGTCACAAGCCATCATCAATAGCAGTAAATAATATTAGGAATTATTAAGAACTGACTTTCCTGTTATTCTGGAAAGTGAATAAATTTGGATGTAATGAGCTAGTAGATTTCTTCACCAACATGTATGATTTACTTTAGATTCTGTGGTAAAACATTATATATAGAATATTATTAAAATTCAATTTAAGAAAAATCAAAAGAAAATTAAAAGAGGAAGAAACTGGAAATTTTAGTTAAAACACATGAGTTACCTGCATACCAAGACACACGTGCTGTGTATGCATATATACACCCACATTTTTAAAGTATATGTGTGTATATATGTATATATGTGTACAAATATATAACCATATGAAAGAAAATTCCAAATCTTGCATGACATAATACCCTTATCAAAAAGTAATTGAGAATAAGCTGAAAGCCTGCAAGATATGGAAATGAGTAAATGTTGATGAAAGCCCCGTTTAGAGCGCTTGCAGGTTTCTACATGAAGCACACACAGCTTGTGAGATCCACCTCAGCACATCTTTGGACAAATGGAAAGGAAGCAAATTCCAAAAACATTGTTTTAGTTTACATATTGCTAAGAATCAAGTAGTGCCACAGTGAAGACAATAAAAATCATCCAACCAGAGGCCGAATGAATATTGTTTTCATTTGTTGTTATCTATTGAAATCAGAGATAGCACATTCAAAGCAGGGGCAAAGCCAGTAAGACATGGAGCTTGATTTTACAAGGAATCTTGTAATCTTGACCTTTTGAATAGCCAAAGAACTGCAGGCAAAAATTACAAAGTCCCACATTGATTTATGAGGAGTTGTCAATATTAGAAGTCACACTCTGGGACTTCATAATAACCCCTCACACGTTTCATTCACAGACAAAAAAGTTCCAGCAGCTACAATCTTGGCATGTGTGAGCCGAGAGGTGAAGGTTATCAGAAAAATAGGAAGTAACACAACTGAAACCTGAGATTAACCAGGTATCATTAGAAGGAATTAAAAAAAAAAAAGGATAAGGGTAAATTATAGAATGTCTAAATCTGAACTTCAGTCACAGTGGAAAGTTTAGTAAACTTAATGAAGCTGGAATTAGTACAATTGTTAGAAATCAACAAAAAAATAGTAGGAGCAAGGACTTTCACTTAAAAGAAAAATGGGCAAAAGGATATTCATCAATGGAGTATCACATGGACCATCCTTTTGATTCCTTTTAAAAGGTTTTCTGTTCAAGACTTCAAAAAAATTAGTAAGAGGCTAATAAAGTTTACCGATAACAAAAGTTCACAGTAGAGAATTAGGTTACTGTGTAGGAATAATAAAGTGCACATGGTATTTTCAAAGGAAGTGAGATGAGGTTTAAAAGCACTGAATATGAGCTCGTTCATTTAGCAATTCATCACAACTTTCTGGTGTCAACTTGATTCCCATCTGCCAGAAATCATCTGCTTGGATCAGTCTATCACAAAACGTGCCCCTGCTGCGACTTGGAGGGGGCAGGAACATGGAGAAAAGGAAAAGAGGGTACCCAAAAAAAACCCCTAATGACAACTCCATTGTGAGAGTCACCTGGAATATTGCATAGTTCTGGTTGAGAAATCTCAAAGATAAATTAATTCATATATAAAAGAAACTATTATGTTGCCTAAAAAAATGAAAAACCTAACACAGTAAAGGAAAAAAAAACGATTTGGTTTGGTTGGTTTAAATGTAAATGCTGAAGATGAAAGCTGACAGGCAAGATTCCTCTACCATCAAACACCAAACTGAAGAATCAAGACAGTAACAGCACAGTAAGGCTTAAAGCAGCCATAAAGCTAGACTGAAAGTTAATCAATCAGATTAGTTCATGTTTGGAATGCAAATAATATAGACAAATCACACTTAGCGTGGATTAGTTCATGCGTATCACAGCAAATTGCTCCCTGGTAGTTTTGGTTTGTTCTTTTTACCTGACGTTCATTTTGGTTGTTGAAAGGACAGGATTAAATGAAGATTTCGTTGATAAAATGCTGGGATGGGCAGCGTTCAGAGAATTGCGTGGTGAGCGGCGGAGATGACCAGGAGTGAGAGTGGTGGAGAATCTGCCTCTTTCTGGATTTGGGCTGAAAAAAAGTGTTTTGCCACTGGATCGTTTCTAGGGAAAAGCAAATACTGAGTTAGCAAACACTGCTAAAAATTTTATCAGAAAAGCAGCTAAGAAGAAGAGAAAACAAACAGGTGAGTCGTACAGTCAGTTTTTCCCTTTTCTCTTTAAAAGCATATTTTAAGCATAAATAGTTCTATTATTATTAAACTGATCTGAAAACACATACCTTAGAACTGTTGTGCGGAGTGCCTTTTTCTGATGCTCTTAGGTGGTTTGATTTTTTGTCCAACACCTGCCAAAAGTAATTATCTTTAAATATACATTGATATACTGTATATCACAGAGAGAAATGTAGCGCTCAGGAGTTCCAGCGTTACTGTTTTGAGACATCAATTAACACATTCATTCCTATATTCATCAACACATGACTGACCCTTTTTTAAGGTCTGCCACACTCTGGAAGAGGCCCTGTTAGCAGCTGTCACCCATGCAAGCATGAAATACTAAAACTGAATCAAGGCCACTGCGAACAACATGCATTGCATGTATGTTAAAGGAGAGTCATATGCAAACAATGATTCTTTAAGGCACAAAAAAGGAACTTAAATATTTAATTCCTGCTCTTTGAAAAATAACCTATCCCCTTGGTAAGCTCTGCAGCAACCTAAGAGTTGTAAGCAAAAGCTCCAGGAGATCCTTTACAAAATTAATTGCGACAATTATTTTTACTCAAAACTGGCAAGTTACTTGTGGGTTCCTATAACTATTTATAGCCATACGCTGTTAATATATAAAAACGTACATAACTATACAAGTTATATTCAAATAACTATAACTAGTTATAGAGGACTGCAGTTAAATTTCACTGCTCATAACATGCCACATCATGTACACAAGGCCAGCTGCTTACTGCTCTAAAGAGACTCTACAGGACTTTTAGAGAGGATTTAGAGAGAAATGAATATGGGAACTCTGGATATCTTCCCATGTTACCACTTACCTTCAATTCATTGAGAGAACTGCTGCAGTTTTCAATCAGTTTTTTTTTCCTCTCAACGTAGTCAGTAATAGATTCCATTTTCTTGAACTGAGCCTCATGCAACTTTTTAAAGTCTAAAAAAGTTCCAAAAATCAGAAGAGTCACATAGCTGATAATCACCTCAGGAAGCTCATTGCTTAATAGAAGAATCTTGCAACACCTATCACTGTGGCCTCAAAAAACCCCTCAAAAATGTATCCCTCTAATAAAAGACTGTGCATACACAGGTAACCAAACAGCATGAAACAGAATCTATTTCAGTTACCAGTTACCTGCTGCACACTCTGGAGAATTATAGAATGGTTTGGGCTGGAAGCCACCTTTAAAGATCACCTAGATAAACCCCCAAATTCTGCAGTTAAAGAAAGAAAAATAAATACTTCCAAATTTTATACGATTTGAAGTATTTTATGAAGTGATGAAAATTAGCTAATATGTAGTACAGACCAATAGTGGTATTTATAAAGTAAAAGCTAAACAAGCAGGAGTACTAGCATGTTTTTCCACCCTTTGTTGGTTTGAAAATCTTGCATGCAAGTATCATATCCAAAAAACAAAGTGCTCGTTAAACCAGCTTTATAACATAGATGTGAGTCATTTACTACTGTGACTTTACAAGCTGGAAGATATACATTAAAACGTAACCTTTGGGAACTTTGTTTGCATGCTTTTTAAAGAAAGGATGTTCTTTTCTTCAAGAAGAAATAGAAATTCGAGTTATAAAAACCTGTAAGCTAGGTCTGCCTTCACACAGAGACAACACACCTAGATGGTAGGTTCTCTTACTTGGTGTAGTAGCTTTCATTCCTGTTTTCCCAGACCTAGATGTACGGCCTATGTATAAAGGGATCTTCCCTCCTGCACGGTGAGCGTTACCTGGTACAGCGAGATTAGACAAAAAATCACTAGAACTCCTTTTTATGTCATCACAACTGTTTTAAAAGTATTTGTTCCAAAACACACCTTAGCTCCTCAAAGTGGGTTTAGGTTTTGAGAAATAAAAACGTCACCTGGAATAGATATGTCCTAAGTCACCCAAAAGCCTTTTCACTGGTACGTCAGTAACAGTGTGACTTGACAAAAATACAAGCCCAGCATGAATTTTACAGTCATACTAGATTACTATCTTCTGATAGCTAACTTCCTCTGTAAAATACTTTACAGGAGAACTATGCTTGTGGTAAGCAAAACCAACCTTAAAATTCACAGGTCTTAATCTATTTAATAAGCTACCAATTTTAAAATATTGATAACAAAGAAGAAATGCCTTCTGGCCATCTTTTCTGCCACTTTATATATGCATAGAGGGTCTAAGTTCTTTTTATCATCTCTGCTCTCAGGCATGGTATTAAGCTCATGTTCACATTTTAGTGATTAAATTAATTTAATTTTATTAAAAAAAAAAATCAAGTGAAGACTTCACATCAAGTTCAATATTTGCATATCAAAAGCAAACATTAGCTTTTCTATTAATTCATATCCTCTTTAAACTTGGATGACCTCAATATGTTGAAAGAAACTCTCACTGGAAGCAAATAATGGAGCATTGTTGAAAATAATTGTTGAAAAATCGACTTTTCAACATTTCAAACGCGTAGTATTTTTGTCACACAGCTCTTCCTGTCTGAAATTACTGACAAAAAAGAAAACCAAAACAACAGAAAGCAGTACAGATATTTATAATTACAGTTATACGACTGTGCCAACTGTCAGGATGAATGCTGCCTGAACGAAAGCATCCTCTACATATTCTATTGTTTCTGTTTTCAGAAGAACTTTCATTGAAAAAACCTAGTTTTCTAAATTATAGGTGGCCTCCAATAAGACTAGCCTTGGAAATTCTAATGAACATCAAGGATACTCATAATACAGCTGAAGGACTACATACACTTAGTCTAATAGAAGCAAATAACAATATGTATCCTATTTTGCAGGCCCATAATATCAATAAATTATCAGATTGAGCAGACAAATTCATTTCATCATGTCAGCTGCATGCACAAAGGAGTGGGGAAGAAATGAATTCATGTTTTCAGCAGCCTTACGTTTGAAGGTCTGAAAAAAACACCAGATTAAAAAAAATGATCCACTCTAATACATTCAGATATTGTTAGGCAGTTAAAACAATTTATAAAGGATTCTCTCTTTATGTTCTTTTCTATTATTTTTATTCCTGAGAAGAAAGTGACAAAACCTGCCCATCTGTAAGGGGAAAAAAAAAAGAAAAAAAAAAAGAAAAAAAGCAGCAGCACGAGGAAGGACACTCTCCCTTTCTTGCCACTTTTTAAAGGAGCCAAGTAGCATCTCAGGGGTATTCCAAAGCACACTGATCCTATATGAGGTGCAAGACTTAAGTACATGCAGAACTTCAAGAACTCCTTCACCAAAAGCATCAGGTCCAGAAGTTCTGAAGTCAAAGCCAGCAGAATTCCTACATCACTGAATTTGTGGATTTGTGTCACCACGTGTTAAAACAAACAAGTACATGAACTCAAACGAGACAGACTTTTTTCTGATACTGATCACCAGACATGCCACAAAAACCTCTGTAGACACAGTAAAATGCACCTTTTGGTTATTTTAAGTAGTACAAATTACTAAACTTACATTTTAAGAATTTTCTACTTACATATAACTCCACCACTTTTAGTAGAAGTCTTCTCTGGTTGTTCTTTCTGACCAGCACCCATCCCTGGCTTCTCAATATCTCTCTTTTTAGTTACTTCTTCCTCCTTTTGGAACACCTGTCCTTTTTCGTGCTCATCCCGAGGCACTTCATTTTCTTTCATTTCAGAATGCTCCTGTAGTTTAAACATACTTCATTTAAACAGTTTGTTCCAACTGAATATAAAGAGAACTGTTGTTCTGAGAACAGTCAGTGGAAAAGGTTGCCCAGAGAGGTTTTCTATCCTCCATCCTTAGGGGTTTTCAATATTGGATTAGATAAAGCCTTAAGCGTTGTGGTCTAACCTCAAGATTGACCTTGCTTTCACTGGGAGATTGAGCAAGAGACTTTCTGAAGTCCAACCCAAGTTAACCTGTGAAACACTTAACCTGTTATTTCACCAATCTATGTTAGAAAGCTTTTAGCTGCACTACTTTCAACATTTTAGTATAAAATTGCCTTCATTGAAAAAAGTTATTTGCAAGTAAAAATAGATTGGTTCCCTAGATTTTACTGTTGCAGCTTTGGCTACTGTACAATTATCTAACACTAACAGAAAAACACTCCTCATTTCCCTTCTCTAACTACGACTGATTAAAGTCTTTCAAGCAGTTCTTAGTTCACCCACTACTTACATGTAATTCTAGAGAAAAATAATTCTACCTCCATCTCACCTTGAAACTTTCCCTCCCTCAGCCATACAACCCACAAACAAAGAACCCACTGAGAGGAGTGGGAATTAAAAAAAAATGCGAAGTTCAGGCAATCATGCAATTTCTGTTAATTTCTTCTAAATAAAGAAAGAGAAAACAGCTTTGTTTTAGATAAATTTTGAAACTAGTCTAATATTTAGAATACTACAATGAAGTAATGAAAGCAGTCTCACATGCAGATAAAGTGTCTGGAATCATATATTTCCTGGAGGAAACTAATTTATTTCCTTCAACATTTAATGTTCCTTTCTGTTTATTATGGAATAGCACGTAGTAAACACAGACAAAATCAGTGCTACAAAGTACAGAAGATCAGTACCAGAATGTTTGCATATGAAGTTTTTTATATATGTATATATATAAACACACACACACACATATATATATGAAACATATAGCACCTACTAAGTGGTGGTAGGAAAAAAATCAGGTGTATTTAAATTATGCTAAGGGGAAGGGGGGGCAGCCAGAACACAAAACCAAGCAACATAAATCACCTCTTCCTCAGAGTGCCCTGTATTTTCTTCAGTGGTGGTAGTTTCCTCCTTGGAATTCCTCTTTTTTCTATTTATTTTCTTTTCTTTACCACGTCTTTTTGTAACAAAACACACTGAACGAGGCGCAGTTTCCTCATGATTGCTCGGTTCACACGATTTGATGGGAGAAGATGCACGTTTTTCAGAGTCCTGTTGCAGAGAAATACTATGATGTGGAACGTACTGACACAAACATAGATTAGATACTCCAAAGAGACAGCTTCAATTTTATTATTGGAAAAAGTACTTCACACAGAGGAAACACAGTAGCATGCCACTTCATAGCATAGTAAGCAAGAAATTAGCAATATCTAGATTTCCCTAAACAAAGTTCATTGTCTGAAGACTTTAAAAATAAGTCGTATGGTTGTTTTATTACATAGCACTTTAATAAGATTATTAAAAATACTTTATGTTTGAAATCTGACTTGCATGATGCTGTGACCATCCCAGATTTGTACATTTCTGTAAAATACTCTCCACCAAAAACTCAGATCCTCTTGCATGCTTGTGAAAATTAAAAATAAGCTGACAAGGATCACACTTTAAAGGAAGCACTTAAAGGGAGATACATTTTAGAAAAAGCAGATACCGATTTACTTAAACATAAAAAGCGTAGCCAAACTAAACAAAATAATTCCACTTACAGACAATAAAACTTTTTTTGCAAAGTAAAGAAAACCACACATTAATAAATGAATAAAGGAAATACTTTCATTATAGAGTCAGTGTAAGTAAATAGTAGTAGGTGCAAAATGCTTTCCACTGAGTATCTAGTCCCTTTCATCTAGGCATGGAAAATGAATAGAATATTGTTATATTTGATAGTGACTAGTGTCTGGAGCTAAACAGGCAAGAACTAAGATCAGTTCAATAGAAAGCACATGTTAGTATTCAGAGAATAATTTTGTGCCAATGCTGAAAGATTTTGGCGGCTGAACGAGATCAGCTTTGGGTCATAGGAGGCTGCTTCAAAACTAACATTAGCACATCTATTTCTATCAGTACATGACTGTGTTAAACTAAAGGCGCTGTTAGGAATGGCTGATTTATCATCTGTTACCATATTTTCATCATCTTGGTTTATTCCATGGAAGTGTTGATTCAGTGCTTTCAACAATTTGTCTGCCTGGAGAGAAATCAAAACAACGTATGAACCAAGTCATCCAACAAAAAACTGCATAAAAACATCTAGTGTCCTATTAATTCATCCAACAAACAAGCAGAGTATTTCCTGAATCCAACAGAATAAGGCACACCTAGAGCTTCATTCAAGTCGGGCAAATTCAAGTCAGTCACTCAAGTCAGAGAAAGTGCTTAAGGCTACAGAAAAACACGTAGCATTTTCTCTACAGAGCCACAAAGACAAGTTTCCCTGACTAGATTTCTTCCAGAAATTTTCCATCTATTTTCTAGAAAATTTAATCCTTCAAAGATGGATGAAACTGACTGGTTTTAGCGGCAATGCATAGCTCAAGAGGAATTAAAACTGTATCAAATTTCCACAACAAATTACGTCTTTCTTGCCCATAGCACAAGCAAAGCATTCTTCTCACCCCTTAGGTATACTCAACACTAACAGCTACAAAGTAACAACAACAAAATTGCGCCACTGATATTTTAGGCTATGAAAGACCTCATCGCTAGAAGCTTAAGAACAAAATAACTCGGAACTAGAACTCCGAGCCGAAGTCTTAATGCTTTCAGGAGAACGAGCCCCTCTGCCCGTCCAAAGTTGTGGATTTTCGTTCTTTTAAAGCTTTACGCCTTTTTCCCGCTGGCAGCGCCTCAGCCCGGTGCTGCCGAGGGGTTTACAGGCGGTGGCACCTCCCAGGAGGGGTGAGGCCGCAACCGCCAACGTACAGCTCCCTCCAGGCAGGAGAAACCGCCGTGTGCTTACATTTCTCCTCCTTAACCGCGACTGTTAACCCGCCGCGGACCCCGTGAGGAGGGCAGCGTTCCCCTCCCGACACCCGCCCCCCTCAGCTCCCAGCCAGGCAGAGGAGGAGCCCCAGAACCGAGGCCTGTCTCCAGAGAACGGGGGGGGGGACACCCAGAAACTTTCACCCCCGACTCGCCCCTCGCCTTACCCGCAGGTTAGCCTTCAGGCCGGCGGCCTTCGCCATCTGCTGGAGCTCCACATACTTCAGCGACTGCAGCTGCTGGAGGGAAGGGAGCGCCATGATGATGGCGGCAGCCGCAGCGCCTCACTGGGCCCAACCGCCGCGCTTCGAATCTCGCGCTCAACTAACAGGCCGCGCCTTATCCCCGCCCCCCCGCCGTTCGAACTCGCCCGCCGCGCCAGGCCATTGGCTGAGCCGGGCAAAGGGGCAGAGCCTAGAGGTGCGGAAACCACCAATAGCGACGCAGCCGCTGGGTTGTGCTTTATTTCAAACGGAGGCCCTGCCCTCTCCCGCTCGATTGGGCGACGGAACGACGCGACGCGGCCCGCTGCCCAATGAGCTCGGGAGGTGAGGATTGACGCGCCCGCTGACCAATAGCAGCGCAAGACTGCAAGGCCGGGAAGGCGGGCGGCGCGCTCGAACGCGGGGCGGGAGAAAGATGGCGGTGAGGCGGCAGCTGCGGAGCCTCTTCCAGGAGCCGCAGCTCAGTGGGGTCATCACTGTAGAGCGGCCGTCCTCCCCCCCGGCTGCCGCCGCCGCACGCCTCTGTCCCTCGCCGCCTCCCTCACCGCCGGCTGCGAGAGTGGTGGCGGAGCCGTTGCCGTTGTCCCCGCCACGGCAGCGGGGCCCGCTGCCGGTGGATTGCGCCGTGTTCCAGTGTGGCGGCTGCTGGGCGGTGCTGGGGGACTCGCTGCACCTCTGTGGGCTGGAGGAGCGGCGACTCGGCCTCCTCGTCTGCTACAGTCAGTGCCTGCCTCGGGGGGGAGCGTCGGTGGGTGTCCTGAGGCGAGTCCCGGGGGTGCCCGGGCCGTCGTCCTCAGCGGGTCCCTCCTTCTCTCTTTTTCTCCTCAGGAGTCACAAACAACGTGGTTTGGGAGGACTCGCTCATGGTTGGCTTGGAGGGAGCCCTCCTGGGATGGTGGGTAGCTTCGCCCGGTCCGGGCACTGGGCCTGTCCCGGGCGAGGGGCTGGTGGCGAGCTCGGGAGCTCCTCTGGCTACTGGCCTGGGGGGGGGTGTGTGTGTCAGTTTTTAAATGCCGAAGTGATTTTTGTACCCGGGCTCCATCGTTTCCGATGGAGAAACATTTTGTAGGTATAGAGCTTTCATGGTTTTTTGGGTCAAAATCCTATGTTTTGCTGCTCTAGCCGTTTTTGGTGGGGAGGAACGTTTGAGCGATGCAGCCTAGCCCTTAGTTCTCTTTTTTCTGCGCCTTCCCTTAGAAAGGTGTATTACATAAATTTAAGCATCTCTGTTTAGGGTGGGTTTGGTTTTTTGTCTTGTTTTGGGGTTTTGTTTGGTTGGTTTTGGCTTGTCTTAATACTGAAAATATCTAACTTCTGTCTATTCACAAGCCTACAGTTGTCACCAGGTTTGGTGACTCGGGAATTACCCTGATGGGAAGGAAGTAAACACTGCCTGAGGGCTTGCAGAACTAGCAGCTTGTTTACGTGATATTTAAAGGCCATTCCACAACCTTAGAGCTTTTTAAATAAAAGACTCTGGTTGTTGAGTTTGTTTGGGAGGGGTGGTTTGGGGAGGGTGCCTCTGCGAGAGGCAGTAATCTTTTTTTATCAGGAGGAAATCTCACACCTCTGACCTGCCATAGGTGTGGGTGCAGGCATTGTTTTACCAGTTAAATCACATTCGGTTGGCACAGCCTAAAACACTCTGTGGTAATAAGCCATGTATTTTCTTCCCCAACTGCAACTTCACTTATTACGCAGATTATTTCTTAAACAATGTGCCCAACTTCTTTTGCTCACACTCTCTCTGAACGTATTCTTTCTTTAAGGAGAGAGCATTGCTGTCTTTTTTTATTGCCCTGATATTTGATGTCCTCCAACAAACATGCAGTATTTATGGTTTCGAAAGCCTCTGCTTAATGGTATTATACCTTTCCTCTTTTAGTGCTTACAATGCATTATCCTGTCAGTCTTGCGGCTTGATCGTGGGCTTCATTCTTTACTCTGCCCCCAGTGACCTGGCCTATCTCCGAGGCTGCTTCTGTTTCTTCAAGCACAGCATCATCTGGTGAGAATACTGAAATCTCCTTCAGTTCCAGATTTGCTTAGCTAACGTAAAGAATCAAAATTGTTCCATGACAGACTGAGAACTTGACTCTAGAAACTGTAAACTACTTATAGCTGGTGGTGAGAGCACCTTATGATTACAAAGTAAAGCCATTGTTATGCTTTTAATATTTTCACAATGTATTAACTGCTTTTGGCAACAACTTTGTATCTGATTTAAAATAATCTGAAATAATCTGTCTAAACAATGAATGCAATTATGAGGTTTTTAACTGGTTTTCTTTTGTTGTGGGGTTTTTTTTCCCTTTCCCCTTTTGTTTTCCAGTTATCTCTTAGGAAAACAAACGATAATAGAAGCTTCTAAGGTGAATTTTCCTGCTGTGACTTTGAAGGAAAAACTGCGAGAAGTAAGGTTTCTACATTAATTTGTATGCAAAATATTTTTTAAATGCTGATATCTGTATGGATATTAGTCCAAAAATATAGACACAATTACTTTTCTTTTTTCAAGACCATAAAATAGAAAAACTACGGTTTTTTTTCCCTTTCCCCTTTTGTTTTCCAGTTATCTCTTAGGAAAACAAACGATAATAGAAGCTTCTAAGGTGAATTTTCCTGCTGTGACTTTGAAGGAAAAACTGCGAGAAGTAAGGTTTCTACATTAATTTGTATGCAAAATATTTTTTAAATGCTGATATCTGTATGGATATTAATCCAAAAATATAGACGCAATTACTTTTTTTTTTCAAGATCATAAAATAGAAAAACTAATGATGTATAAAACAGGGATTGACTTAAATGCACGAGACATGCAAAACGCTTTCTAGAACCACTTATCTGCAAAACATATCCAGTTCTAGCTAATTTTCTGGCAGAAGTTCGTTATCTTTTGTTATGGTTTGAGAAACCCACTAGAATTTATTGTCATTTAGACAATTATTCTATCACCTGATGACACCTTCCCATCTGGGAAGTGGCTCTTTAGCCACTGAAAGTGGGGTGCAGAGATCATTCAAAGATCCAGTGTCAGGACACTTTTTCTTTTTTTCTCTAGTTTTAATACACATTTATCTTTTTCTTTTTCTTTTTTTTTTTCTAGATGAAAGAAAAACTTGTGGAGGTCCACATTCGCGTAGAATTGCTGATGAAGAAGCTGGAGGAACTGCAACAACAGAATGATGTGGCAGAAAGGCAAGCCTGTGCTTCAAATGCAGTCGGCCTTCCGCCGGGATATGCAATAGTCAGGGTCAACTAATAACAGGCCATTTTTAAGAACTGTGGAGTTGTTTCTGCATCTCGGCTGAGTTTGTTCATTATGGTGGGGGTGTCAGTTTTTAAATGCCGAAGTGATTTTTGTACCCGGGCTCCATCGTTTCCGATGGAGAAACATTTTGTAGGTATAGAGCTTTCATGGTTTTTTGGGTCAAAATCCTATGTTTTGCTGCTCTAGCCGTTTTTGGTGGGGAGGAACGTTTGAGCGATGCAGCCTAGCCCTTAGTTCTCTTTTTTCTGCGCCTTCCCTTAGAAAGGTGTATTACATAAATTTAAGCATCTCTGTTTAGGGTGGGTTTGGTTTTTTGTCTTGTTTTGGGGTTTTGTTTGGTTGGTTTTGGCTTGTCTTAATACTGAAAATATCTAACTTCTGTCTATTCACAAGCCTACAGTTGTCACCAGGTTTGGTGACTCGGGAATTACCCTGATGGGAAGGAAGTAAACACTGCCTGAGGGCTTGCAGAACTAGCAGCTTGTTTACGTGATATTTAAAGGCCATTCCACAACCTTAGAGCTTTTTAAATAAAAGACTCTGGTTGTTGAGTTTGTTTGGGAGGGGTGGTTTGGGGAGGGTGCCTCTGCGAGAGGCAGTAATCTTTTTTTATCAGGAGGAAATCTCACACCTCTGACCTGCCATAGGTGTGGGTGCAGGCATTGTTTTACCAGTTAAATCACATTCGGTTGGCACAGCCTAAAACACTCTGTGGTAATAAGCCATGTATTTTCTTCCCCAACTGCAACTTCACTTATTACGCAGATTATTTCTTAAACAATGTGCCCAACTTCTTTTGCTCACACTCTCTCTGAACGTATTCTTTCTTTAAGGAGAGAGCATTGCTGTCTTTTTTTATTGCCCTGATATTTGATGTCCTCCAACAAACATGCAGTATTTATGGTTTCGAAAGCCTCTGCTTAATGGTATTATACCTTTCCTCTTTTAGTGCTTACAATGCATTATCCTGTCAGTCTTGTGGCTTGATCGTGGGCTTCATTCTTTACTCTGCCCCCAGTGACCTGGCCTATCTCCGAGGCTGCTTCTGTTTCTTCAAGCACAGCATCATCTGGTGAGAATACTGAAATCTCCTTCAGTTCCAGATTTGCTTAGCTAACGTAAAGAATCAAAATTGTTCCATGACAGACTGAGAACTTGACTCTAGAAACTGTAAACTGCTTATAGCTGGTGGTGAGAGGACCTTAGATTAGAAACTAAAGCCATTGTTACGTTTTTAATATTTTCACAATGTATTAACTGCTTTTGGCAACAACTTTGTATCTGATTTAAAATAATCTTAAATATTCTGTCTAAATGATGAATGCAATTATGAGGTTTTTAACTGGTTTTCTTTTGTTGTGGGGTTTTTTTTCCCTTTCCCCTTTTGTTTTCCAGTTATCTCTTAGGAAAACAAACGATAATAGAAGCTTCTAAGGTGAATTTTCCTGCTGTGACTTTGAAGGAAAAACTGCGAGAAGTAAGGTTTCTACATTAATTTGTATGCAAAATATTTTTTAAATGCTGATATCTGTATGGATATTAGTCCAAAAATATAGACACAATTACTTTTCTTTTTTCAAGACCATAAAATAGAAAAACTACTGATGTATAAAACAGGGATTGACTTAAATGCACGAGACATGCAAAACACTTTCTAGAACCACTTATCTGCAAAACATATCCAGTTCTAGCTAATTTTCTGGCAGAAGTTCGTTATCTTTTGTTATGGTTTGAGAAACCCACTAGAATTTATTGTCATTTAGACAATTATTCTATCACCTGATGACACCTTCCCATCTGGGAAGTGGCTCTTTAGCCACTGAAAGTGGGGTGCAGAGATCATTCAAAGATCCAGTGTCAGGACACTTTTTCTTTTTTTCTCTAGTTTTAATACACATTTATCTTTTTCTTTTTCTTTTTTTTTTTCTAGATGAAAGAAAAACTTGTGGAGGTCCACATTCGCGTAGAATTGCTGATGAAGAAGCTGGAGGAACTGCAACAACAGAATGATGTGGCAGAAAGGCAAGCCTGTGCTTCAAATGCAGTCGGCCTTCCGCCGGGATATGCAATAGTCAGGGTCAACTAATAACAGGCCATTTTTAAGAACTGTGGAGTTGTTTCTGCATCTCGGCTGAGTTTGTTCATTATGGTGAAATAATGCACCAGAACAGGGTTCAGAGGGTTGATCTGTCACTTTATCTGTGTATAGAATGAACCGATGCTTAAGTGCATCCCTTCAATCTAAGGGGAGCACCTGAAGTCTGACAGACTGAAGTTATGCTTGGAAAAATGGATAGCTCACCCATGCAGCGCATCGCTCTCCGAGACAGCATAAATATGACTGATTCCCTCCAATGACATTAGGAGGAAAAACAGCCTTTGAAATACTAAAATCAGGTTTCTGGAACTATACAAAACATACTAACAAGTTGATACTCAAGAGGAGCTGTTATAAATCGAATGTCCTCACACAAATCTGAAGTCCCTGTCATACCTTTTCATACAGACACAGTATTAATGGCAGCTAGCTCTTGGCCAAGGGGCTCGTTAGCCACATCTGGTATGTGAGCCACTTGCTGAGTGGCCTCCTGATCAGTTCTTTTAGATTGGCCTGTGTACGTGACCTGCAGAAGGAGTGAGCTGGTGTGTCACAGGAGCTGCCCAGTGTGCTTGCTGAGGGTGTGAACCTGGCTGGCAGAATGCTGGCTGGGGCACAAGGCTTTGGGTTTCAAATTCAAGGGCAGCCCATGTGCTTGCCAAGTCCCCTGGAAGCGCGCCCCAGCAGCTGTGCAGGACCGAGGCACGTTCCTGCTGCAGGGCAGCTCTCAGGGCATGGCCTCAGAGGCTTTAAGGTGGGCACCTGACCCTTATGCTACTACTTACCTTAACTCTGCTGCTTTTTGATTAGGAGTTCCAAGTTGTCCCAGTTCGTTCTGATTAAGCACTAACATAGAATACCGGCAGCCATTCTGCAGGGAGAGGAGAGGCACTGTCTGTTAAATTCCAATACCATATGCTATCTAAATTATTTTTATGTTTTACAACTTTGACAGTGCAAAAATGCTGTGCTTTTTAATGACAGCTAAATTCAGGATGTCAAAAGTAACGACCTGAAGTAAATGTTAAGACTCCTGTAAGATCTGTCTCATTGCCCATGACGATAAATGTTATATTCTCTAAAATTAGCTGCATCCTGAACCCTTAGCTGGAAGGCTGTTCTTAAACAGTTGTCACTGTATATTCAGGTGAAGTTTGGAGTTGCTGTATTTGATTGCTTCAGTATTAAGAACAAAACGTTTTTACTGTTGTGCAGTGACTTCTGCATTATGTTTAAGGACCCTGTTGGTCTTTAACTGGGGTCTGGTGACTAAGCTCGTTTTGTGCAAGCGTCTCAAGGAAATGCTTTCCATTGTATAACTTCCCCTTGTGTTACTTTCTAAGTGACAGCCCTTTTGTCATTGCATCAGTCTGAGAAACATGACTGATGGCTGGACTACTCACTTTTGCCCTTTTACTCTTGTTTTGCATCAGTCTGAGAAACATGACTGATGGCAGGACTACTCACTTTTGCCCTTTTATTCTGTATTCTGCGTTGAGACTGTTTCTTGCTATGTACTTTACATCTATACTGTATGTGACAGTGCTAAATTGTCTTCTTTCATTTAGCTAAGTGTCCACCTAAAAGGAAAAAGTTGTCAGTTACTTTTTTTTTTTAAATATATATTATTTTTACAGTTGTAAAGAATAAACTTTTTTAAAATAAAAAAAAAGCTCTAATTCAAAAGTATATATTGTGTGGATCACTGATAATATCATATGAGTAATAAGCCCCCTTCTTTTCCTTAAATTATGTTTGCAGGGGAAAAAAATGTTGCTTAGGTGCTGGCTCGTGATGAAACAGTAAATATTTAATGGTTCCTCACATTACTTAGCATTAATTTAAACACATTTTTAAACTACATTTCTCCAGTCTTTGGAACCAGGAGGACTCTGCTGTGGTCTTTCGTGTCTATTTATCAAATGTTTTTTCTTGGCATTAACTATTGCCTGATGTAGCTGCTGATACTCACAGCAGTACAGTGTTCTAAGTAAATTCGGTGTTAAGAAACAAATCACCTTAATTCACAAAACATAAAATAAATGCATTAATCTTCAGTAATTTGAGATGAACATTTTTTGAGTTGTGATTAAACCTATGGGTGCATTTTGATTTAAGTGATGCTTAAAAATTATTTTTTTTTCCTGAAAGATTCAGCTTCTGATGCCACAGCCTGTCCCAGATTCAAATTCCTCTTAATCAATCAATGAATATTTGTTTTTTTTATTCTGGTGTAGAACCTCATCTCCTCTAACTAGGCACCTTGTGAGACACGCTCTAGCTTTAAGTGCAGCCAGGGCCAGGCTGGCTTGGGAGGGATGGATTTTCTAAAAAATTCGGTGTTAAGAAACAAATCACCTTAATTCACAAAACATAAAATAAATGCATTAATCTTCAGTAATTTGAGATGAACATTTTTTGAGTTATGATTAAACCTATGGGCGCATTTTGATTTAAGTGATGCTTAAAAATTATTTTGAATACCAACCACTTAGAAGTCAGGTCTCAAGGTCACACTCAGCAGCTGTCTTCTCTGGAATCTAAAGACAAAAACAGCTAGAAAATGAAACAAGTTAAGGTTGTTGAATGGACTCCTGAAGTGACAATCATACTGTGAATCTTTTATAAGCAAACTGCAAGGGAAGTTGTGACATCCCAACCACAGAAGGAATTTTTCAGAAATAGAGTTGCCAAAACAATAAATAATCCACATATATGAAATACTTTTCTGATGGGCTGCTTATTGCTTTCAGGCAATCTATACAAGCAACAGAAGCTTTTTGCTACCATCTAAAACAACCCTTGAAGCTTTTAACTGACAAGTTGCCCCTCTTGGTGTGAGTGGAGCAACAACTTTCCTTTAGTTGCCTTCCAAGAAACCAGAGGCTCTTGTGCCTAAAGTCTGCTGGAACAGCTGGACCCAAAGCAGATGAGGTTACCCAGTATAGGTCAGTTTAGATCAAATTGTGAAGTTTTGACAAAGGTACAACAAATAACACAAACACATCTCAGAAGTGGAACAAATTTTCTGAACAAATGACACAGCCAGTTTTAGTGCATTCTCAGCCTGTGCTGCTTTATTGCTAAAAAAATTTGTATACAGGTGCAGAGTTTCCAAGTTCATTTTTAAACAGTTCCTCTTTACAGTGTCAAAAGAATAAAATCTTATCTTGAAATCCTCAAAGATGCATAGATATAAAAGCAAGCTGCCTTTTGGAAAAACATCAGAATTTGCAGGGAGACATTCTTTCACTGTTACCATGTAAAACACGTGTGCAATGGGAGTACATAGTTCCTAGTGACACCAATAATTTCCTCCACTAATCCATGTGAGCATGCCATCACAAGTTCAGTATGAGAAGTATTTTCTAGCCTGTTTTTTAAGTACTAAGGTAATTTTTAAGGATCTGTAACTAATACTTCTCCTTTGCTGTTATATCACACTTGTCAAAAGGAGGATATCTTCACTGACATCCTAAAGTAGCTTATTCCTCAGGTTTGATATTGAAGAGAATAAGCATTAACAAAGGATACAGCTGCTTACTCATCACACAAAAGTAAATACATTTAACAGGGTTTAAAACCATGCAAAGTGTTCTAAAGAATACCCACTAAGAATTAGACGACCATGGTTAACTGCTGGGCTAAACTTGTTTTACAAATTCCCGTTTGGCTTGAAGAAGTTGGCTCAAAGGATTTCCATTTTCTCTAACTTCCAATACCATAAATTAGTTAATTTCTCCTCTAATATTCCTATCTTCATTTGGCAATTCTTGTCTATCTAGAAAGAGTATTCATGAGAAAAACACAACCCCCATTCAAAACCCAAATCACGGTGCTTTATGGATGGTTGGTGATGAAGTATGAACAGGAGTTAACTTGACACAATTTCTTCCTCCAGGACACTTCCTCTTTCTCTTCAGGAAAGAGGATGGAGCCTCTGTACAAGGAGAAGTGTTCTGCACAAGTTAAGCCCACCTACAAAATTAAGCTAAGCTAGAAGTATGGTATTCTGCAGTAACAAGCTAGTATTCTACACGTTTGGATACAAGTTGAAACTTGGAAAAGTATTAGTGACGTAGGCCATGCCACACATTCTATGTTATTTTTAAACTGCCAGCAGAAATTCCACTTATCCACTAAAAGACTCGGGAAACACCACAGAGAACACACTAAAAGTTTACAGAAAGATGGCACCCAAATTCCCTTTTAGTTAAGAAATGAAGAAAAAAGACTATTGCAACCTGTGTTGCAGAAGATAAAGACCTTCAGTGATCAAATCTCATTTTCTGTTTTTAAAAATCTCTTTAAAGAACTCAAAAAATATACAAGATTACCAGTATTTTCAGGTTCATTCCTGCAGGTGCCATTATTGCTGGCTGGTACCAGTATGCTTCAGTACAGCTGCCTATGTGGCTAGAGAGTTACCTGAAAATACTGTCTATTAAAAAGCTATTCAACACCTGAAATATATGTACTGTGCTTATTAATTTCAGTCTTCTCCAAATAATTTCTCTCACCACACCCAAGCTTATTACCTACTGCCTGGCAAATACTACACTCAATTTGAGTCTGTGGTTTCCGACACTTGGTTGGTTTGTGTTTGTTTGTTGGTTGTTTTGTGGGTTGTGTTTTTTTTTTTTTTTCACCCGTTGCTCCCCCCTGCACTTTGTAAGAAACTCTGCACCCTTTTCCTTGCTACAGCTGCAGCAGGTGAGAAACCTCGTCTCGCCCCTAAACATGCTTAGTTCATGCCCTGCTTTTTACATGCTCAGGGCACTAATATGAACCAGACAAGAGGTGATAAAGGCGAGTTCTGCTGATCCTGGTTCCCGATTTACAGTTTTGGTGCCATGCTTCTGTCCCTATCTATACATTCTGCCCCTTTCTCTACAGGGGCAGCACATTCTCTACAAACTCAAAATTTGAGAATCAAAGCAGGAAGTTCAAGCTATTGGTATATTAATTCCTATTGCTTCATTATGTATAAATGCATATCTCAATTTACTGGTAGTAACTACATTACACTAGACATTTTGAATCATGCATAATTAGAATACTAGCTCTAAGATTTGGTTTGTGGGCCTGTGCCGCTTTCCTTCAATTTCTCCACGCGGTTCTTCATGCCTCAGGCATTACAAACTAGCAGCCTTTGATTTGACCTGCAAACACGCTCATCTGGAGGGGAAGTGGAAAGAAGCAGACAGGATTTACATAGGACACACTAAACAGTAAATTACCTTTCATCTTTAACCTTAGTTGTTGTAAGGTCTTAGGGAATCTGTCTATTCTAACCTGGTACGTAGGCTCAGAGAGAGAAACAGCTCTGCTTACGTCACGAACACCGACACTTTCTCTACAACTCAGGGGAAAGCGTAGAGCAGACTGAAAGAGACATCAGAATCCACGGTTAGTGTTCTGCACTGTTAAACGAAGACACCCTGGTTCAACTGCTGGCTTTTGTGTGACAGTCAAAGCTCTACAGGGGCAAAATGCTGGATCATTCGGTAAAAGAAATCCAATGGAATCTGACTTGAACTGCAGCTCTGTACCTGAACAGCAAGCAGGATTAGTAGTTTTGGAGGAAGACCAGACAATTTCCTAGGGATGCAGGAAGCAGTTATTTCTAAGATTGATTATCCATCAAACCCCATTCTTCTCTTCCATATTTTTCTCTTCTCTGCCCAAAAAAC